GAAACAACTATCTAGATAGATGAGGGGATAGCAGTGGATATTGTCTCCCCTGACTTCAACAAGGCTTTCTACACTGTCACTCACAATGTCCTCATAGGCAAACTCAGGAAGTGTGGACTGGATGAGTGGACAGTGAGGTGGATTGAGAACTGGCTGAACAGCAGATCCCAGAGGATCATAATCAGTAACACACTCTGTAGTTGGAGGCCTATACTAGTGGTGCTCGCCAGAGTTCAGTACTGGGCCCAGTTTTGTTTAACTTACTGGTTACTTGGATAAAGAGTGCCTCTGTGATGGATCAAACTTTGATTGAATGGGCTGGCTGAGCCTGCAACCAATTGTTTCCCAAAGTGGGTTTGTGCCAGCTGAGGGAAAATGCTGGTAAGAAGCAGATCGTGGGAGGTGGGGTAATGCTTGTTATATTCCAATCTCCTCCCTCCCAATAAAGCATTACTGCATCTGACAGTGTAAAACTCCCCCAGGGATCAAGACTGCAAGTTTCACTCTGACCACAGACACTGAAACTGTTTGCAACTGTTAAATCTTGTCACTAGATCCACAGGTGGTGATATATTCCCTCTCCACTATCTGCTCTTATCCCTTTCTTCTTTTTCTTTCTTTTCCTTATATTTTTCCTCATGGATTTTTTATATAATTACAGAAAACCAAAATGACTATGTATCTCCTTTCTCTTGCAACCAAATAGTTTTAAAATAAACCTGCCTCATATATGCACTGGTCATTCAGTGTCATTTCACTCTAATTCACCCCAAAGAATCTATTAACAAGAACCTCAGTTACTCTGCCTCAGAGGTGGGACATAACAGCCTCCTCAGTGAGTTTGTTGAGCTGGCAGGAGTGGCCCATTCCCCAGAAGGTATGAATGTATTGATTGTGCTGAATGTATTGAAGGCATCAAGAGATTAGCAGTTCATTAACACACAGATAGCAGCTTCTTAGGACACTCACATCAGAGACAAAAAAGAGTGAGTAAATGCTGACAGCTCATAGAGGTGAGATGTGGGATAGGATTGAAAAACTCACTGCTTAGATGCTCTAAAGGATAGAGAAAAATGAATAAAAATGCATAAAAATCAGCTTTAGCTCTCAACCTAAGAAGAGACCAGAAGAGAAGATGAGGCCTCAATAGCCAGTGCCATTATCCTTCAACAGGACACTTATATTCAAGCACCCTGATGCCCACGTGCTGGACAGACTACCTGGGTATATATGCCCTGGTGCTAGTTTGTGGAAGTCTGAGAGACAATGTGTGAAATCAGCAATGTTTTAAAGTAAATCACCTTCCAGTCCTGTTTTCCTGCAACGGCTGCTTCTTGTTCTTTTAGTATCCTGTATCTTCTAAAGCCCCTTTCAACAGTATAAGACTGTTCTTGGGGCTGACTAGAACCTGCTATTCCCTTGGCTGAAGTCCACTTTGCTCTGCCTGTCCTCATATGCCGCATCCTCCAGCTCCCTCACCAAGGGGTTTAGAAGTTCTCTGCAGTCTGCTGACAACTCCCTGGTACAGGCCTGGGCCCAGCCTTTGTAAGTGCTTGGGATGTGACCTCATCAGTGTTAAGCAGAGGACAAATGAAAAGAGATTCTCCATTTCCTGAGCATCTCTGCATTGACTGCTGTTACCATTGCTGATCTGTTCCAGGTCATGTCATTTGTACGCAGAAGCGTGACAGCCAGAGGAGACTTCTCTGGTTCATGAGTCTACAAATGTACATCAAACTACATCTTGGTCACCCTTCAAGACTGCCACAACAGCCAGTATGTCTATGGCTTCCTTATGACCTTGGTATATGAAAATCTCTAGCACCTTCCACTTACATGCTCCCAAGCACCTTCAGCTTATTCTATATGTAATTCACTTATTACATTTATTGATCATCTATTAATTTTACATTAAGTATTTATTAATGCACCCTTCATGTAAAGTATGATTCATTCACCTACAAAAATTTATTGTTTGTGGGGTTATCTTATATAAAACAGATCTTTATTACTAACAGAATTAAATTACAACATCTTGTAAAAATCATTCATGATTATGAAGATAGAGAAACTACACTGACATGTTTAATAGTACTAGAAATTAAGTAGTATGGCTGTTATACTGTATATATAATATATAGGGTTTTATGGCTGAACAGCTTTTGGCTTCGTCCTTTATTTAATAGCTATTTTCATCCATTACATCGCACTAACTTCCATCATGATTCTCTATAGATCACATAACCCACTTAAAAGCTGTAAGTAATTGTCCTACTTGATCAAAGAAACAAATATAGCCATACCTATATATAACACTAAAATATCCAGGAGAAAATTTCAACAGATAGTCCCAGACAATTTGTACTGAAAAATATTTAAATTACAACTTTGAAGTGTAAAACAACTGCAAATAGGAATTGTGAAATGCAAAAACATATGAAGAAAAAGTGCATAGGTAAAAAAAAAAGGATAATTTCAGTGAGGAAATGCTTTTTCACTCCTAGCAGATTTTAAGACCTGATACTCATTTGATATGAAATACTATATTTCTGCTATTTTCCAGTACTTGATTTAATGGCAGGCTGATTTATGCCACTGGACAACCTTGCTCAACATCCATTAATGTTACATAGTTTGACTCAGAATCTCTGTTCCACAATTCTTCTCAAGACTTCAGCCTTGCCTACAAGGTTACCGTGCAGTAGGAATATTCACTTTATTCATGTCACACTAATGGGGGTGTTTCATCCATGTTCAACGTGATGATTTTTTCTTCACCATGATGACCCTGCATACAGAATGGAATTTATTTTGAATTACATGATCAGCTTGGGGAAGAAGATTGTCTCTTCAGTTCCCTTTCAAACACCACTTTTTGTGGGACAGCTTCTACAAAGACTCGGAGGAAGGTTAACAAGCTAAGTTGGAAGTCACTGTAATTCTAAGTATGAAATCAGGATTTGTTTCCAGACATCACTTACAGTTGTATCAAAGTATAATCCTGATATAATTTTCCATTCTAAGAGTCTTCTGTGCTGCAAGAACAGTGTCTGAGAGCAGGATACAACCTGTACCTTCTGTCTTTGATATGCCACCAGGGCATGACTGCACCTTTGGGGGCCAGACACAGCTACCAATGGTGGTTTCCAAAACAGCACCTACATACTAATTCCGGCATTAACTCAGCTGCATAGAGCATGGTGCTAATAATGCCAAGGTTGTGGATTTAATCCCTGCATGGGCCTGACTTATAAGTCAAACTTGATGATCCTTGTGGGTCCTTTTTCGGCTCAGAATATCCTGTAACTCCTGTATTGTCCCTGTAGTGTCAGAGATGGACCACAGCAGAAGCTGCTCTTGGAGATTTATTCTGTGCAAAGCTGCTTCCAGACTTGTGAAGCACTGACAGGTACATTCAGTACAGGAGCTGCAATGTGACCAGAAGGGAGATCACTCCATGGTTATTGCGTGCACTGTGGTTATCACTTTGAGCAAATGCTGGAATGCAGAAAAGTATAATTTGGAAAGCTGACAAGTGTAAGTTGCCAAAGAACCAGATTTGTCTTTGACAAATTTAACTGAAAAGACAAACCTACCAGCAGAACACAAGTACTATAAGTACTACAAGTACAGTAGATTCGTAAAACAGTAATTTCGATCAAAATACAGCTTTCATGTCAACACACAAAAGATAATTATATTAATTGACATTACAGAAGCCTGAAAAGTCAGATGAAAGGGAAGTAAAATTGAATTGCCTGGCAACAACTGGACCAACAATATGTATTTTACTCTCTTGTAAATTCTAAAATTTTCTGATCCATCTAATTGCTAGTGTGCCAAAATCTAGTTAGTTTGTGTTTTATCTTCCAGAGATGTACTAGGCTCAGAGCCACAGTTAAAGAAGCTTTCATTATTACTTAATGAATTTAATAATGTACGCTTTTTAAAAAAAGTTCTCCATTTAGTACAATATATGGTGGATTACAATTGTTAAGAAATTATGAAACTCCTTGTGCAGTGTATTTTGGGAATGTTTTCAGACATTATCAATAACAGATAGTTTTCATATACATCAGCAATAAATGCCTTTCTGGTTCTATGGATCAGGTAAAACTATCCTAACTGCATTTCAGTATCAAACTGCTCCCTGGGCAAGTACTACATGAATATCATCGCACTGATGGAGATCTAAGGTATACTTTCATTTCTGCAAAATTTACATTGCTGGAAGACTGCTCTCACTTAAACTGCTGTAGAGCATCAGCACTCCAAGTATTTAAAAAGTTGGCATATTTGACTAAAAAAAACATTTAAAAATCAATGTGTCTTCTGTATTTCTGATGCTGTCCTTCAGTCTCTCCCTGCAGAGCTGTCCTTGTGCTCTTTTCTCCGGACCATTTACTACTTGACAGTTTCCTCATTAGTTCCACCATTTGATCAACTCTAGAAGTTAAAAATGACCACAAACTGTGGCTAACAGGTTGGTAGGAGAAAGCTAGGAATGCATGGGAAGAGTGTAACAGAAGACAGGAGAGAGGAAAAACTGCAATTAAGCAGCAAGTAGAAACCTCTAGGCTCAAGGAAGCATTACAGGTGTTACTGGTTAAATCTGAAACGTATTAAGCTCCAGTATGAAAGAAAAATGCCCCCGATCAACTGCAATTACTGCAATATCCCAAAAAAAAAAAAAAAAAAAAAAAAAAAGCACCTTTCCAGTTAATTATATTACAAATGGTTAAACACATAATTCAGTTACTGTAAACAAAATGTGCTAGGAAGAAAAAGGAAGGATGTTTTCAGTTTTCTTCTTGAATAGCCATAAATTTAAATACTTGTTAAACTATTAAGCAGAAGTGGGCTGATACATAATGGAATTAAAAAGGCCAGTACAAGAATGCCGAGCCTAGATAGTTTTAAATTCTTATACTAGTTCTCCTCAGCTGGGAAAAAATATTCTTCATTTCAAGAAACAAAAATCTCAGAAACCTTGAAAACTACAATACAAACAAGTTTATTTGTACTGGTTATGTGATGCGTGATCCTAACAACATTCCTGCGGCACATTCCATCTATCCAGGATTAGTAAATACTGAGAGCTGAATTTCCAGGGCAATTTCAGAAATCCAAACTTTCTTTGCCTCATTTATATCTCTTTGTGTTCCTTTTTCATGGTTTAATCAGAGCTGGCAAAAAAGTACCACACAGTCATTCACTCCCCATCCCAGTGGGAAGAAAAGTAGTAAACAGTAAAACTTACAGTTTGAGGTAAGAACAGTGTAATACTGGAAATAAAAGAAAATAATACTTGTTTTAATATTAGTAATAGTAATAATAATAAATGACATAATGAAAAGGAAAGAGAGAAGAATAACACCCATGAAAAACAAGTGATGCACAGTACAGTTGTTCATCACACTGACTGATGCCCAGCCCGTCTCTGTGATCATTGGCTCCTGGGCAATTCCCCTGGCTTTTATACTGGGCATGATATTCTATGGTATGGAATATGCCAGTGAGCCATCCTGGCCATGCTCCCTCCAAGATTTTTGTGCAAGTGCTCACTGGCAGATCATGGGAAACTGTAAATCCTTGACTTAAAATAAGCACTACTTGGCAACAACCAAAACATCACTGTGTTATCAACATTATTCTCATAATAAATTCAAAAGACCGCACTGTACCAGCTACTGGGGAAAAGTGAACTCTATCCCAGTCAAAACCAGGACACCCTCAAGTTAAATACACTGGTAGGAAACATCTTTGACTTGCCATGTAAAGAATTCCCAGCAAACATATACCCTTTCTGCTTGTAGCTTTTAGTAAAAGGATGTATTGTGAACTAAAGGCCAAGTGGCAAGAAAGCAGTGTTTTCATTTATTCTCAGTTTTCATGTATTTCACAAGGGATCTGTGTCAGGTGGCCCACACTGAAATCAAGAGTCTAAACTACCAGCCAGAGTGCAAATATTTGTATTCTAATGTCTATCTAATGCTCAGAACAGAGTACCATGGTGATTTTGTGGTGTTTTTGAATGCCACTTTCAGAAACCATTTCACCTATGGATGACCTAAGGGCAGTCATGGCTTGCAGCTGAAAACTTCTGTCCATATGCACTTGCACAGCAGGTCCCTTTCAGGAACTCCAGCTCTTCTGTACAGCTGCAGCAAAGCTGACTTGCTGTAAACAGAGGTCAAAATTGATCCTCACACAAGGTCCCAACATACTGCACAAACTTTGGATTAACTGCCTTGGAATGCTGAAGTTTTTAGAATACACAGGATCTAATAAAATCACAAGTTATGGTATTTTTCCTTATACTTCACATGGTAGAAGTGTGACTTTGACTATCTTGAATTTCTTGTTTGATGGCTCAAAAAAGCTATTTATTGTTGCCAATACTTGGAAGTGATTAGGCAAAGCAGCTTAGATTGGAAAGAACTTGAGGATGGGTGTATGAGTCAAGGGTGGATTTGGATCTCAAATTTCAAGGGAGAATGTTTGTCAGGGAAAAATGATTACTTCAGTTAATCCAAAGTAATGAAAACATGTTGTTCTTTCTCCTAAGAGAAAGTTATTTATATATGAACTAAGTTGTTCTACACTTGCAAATTTATGATTGCCTGACAGAAACATTTGACCAAAGCTGAAAACAAAAATAGGCTTCTTGCCTCAGTTTCTTCCTAAATGTCACTGCATAATGTGATCTGCTATATGCTAGCGAGAGTGTACATCCTAGTCACAATCTTGCTTTTTAAAGTACCATCTGGAATGCATGTGTCTGAGCAGAGCCTGAGGAGAAATTCAGCAAAGTACCGAGTGCCGCATACAATTCAGTGCTTGTGGCAGCTCTTGAGAAGAAAAAATGGGGACAGGAAGATCAGTTATATTGTCTGTCTCAGACCAGGGCATTCAGAGCACTTTCCAAGCTTACTTTAAAAAAACCCCAGAACTGCAAACAAAGTCAGTAATGGAGATTTTTTCTTTTTTTAAAAATTGACCTTAATGAGAACTGAAGTGCAAAAGGTTAAAAAATATTTGACTTAATCACAAACATTTGAAAGAGCCATGCGGCAATTTAATGTATTACTAATAATGAAGAAAACTTATTTATGGTGGTTTAAAATTGATAGGTCAGTGGATGGAACTCAGTGGACAGGAGTTCTAACACACACTGTATTTCGATTTTCCTTCCTTACTGTACTGCAGTTGCTTTAATTCTTAGCATAATATCTGAAAAATATTCTGAAGTTTAAATACCAATTTGTTCATGAAGTGTATTTATCTCCACAGTACAAATGAAACATTTTTATATCAGGCAATTAACATGCAAATGAATGTTAGACCATGCAAATGAATTGTCTTGATTTTTAATTTTAGATGAAACAGTAAAATATCAAACTGAATAGACATTGGGGAAAAAAAGTAATATTAAATTAGACTGGCATAATTTTAAAATACATTCAAGAATAAATTAGAGGACAAGATTACCGGCTGATCTTCGCAGTAGTCACATACTGCCATGAGAAACAGATGTGATAACAATTCAAAACCTTTAGATTTAAACTGAGCCAAATTTAGACTATAAACTATCTTGGATTTGCATATATTTGCTTCTTTGAAGTATGTACATTTAAAGCCCTATAATAACAATGAATGGAAAAACTGGAAACGAAACTTTGGAAAAATTGAAAACTGACTACAGAGAGTCATCTGGAAAAGATTGGACCTATATAAGCGTAATGCTTTTAACTACATGGTAGGTATTACCAAAAATTTAACTAGAACTTCCTAGTTTTGTTCTTAAAATGGATGTCCTTCATAGAAAGAATTGCTTTCTCAAACAGTAGTGAGCATGAGAAAAACAATAGATACATTTTTATTATTTTTTTTTTAATGGCCAACTATTAAGGAATTGATAGTGACAACTAAGGAAAAAAATAATAATAATTTCTTCCCGTTGTTAATGTCAATGGCAATGTGATGTAGAGCTTCTAAACGGACAATTGGCACATGTGGGCCCATAGTAACAAGAAAGGCAATTTTGACCAATCCTCAGTGTCTGCGGAACCAGAGAAAAGAGGATTTCATACCAAAATGGGCACAAGTGACAGAAGCACTGAGCAGGGCAAGAGCCAGAGCCCGGCGGTGCTGTGGACATTTCAGCAGCACCGTGGGCCAGGCTGTGACGCGCTGAGGTCTCAGACTCATGCCACAGTGCTGTCACCTCACTGGTGCACACTCCACGGGGAGTGGCTGGTCCGCACTTTTGGTGAACTTTGATGCAAGTGTATCAGCACTGTTAAATTAATGCGAGTAACTCACCAGCAGCCCAGTGGTCGATGGCCTGGACACTCCCTGGGTTAATGCCCGGACCTCTAACTCCATATGGAGATACAGGAGAGTAGTGACACGGCAAACGTTTCCTTGCAGAAGAAAAGCCTTGACATATTACTGCACCTGGCAGAAATCCATGTGGGACATACAGAGTATCAATGTTTATTCTGAATAAAGGTTCTAGTGAGACATTATGAACATAAATGAATGCTGAAATCTTCAAAATTTAATCTAAGGAAAGAGAACCAGGAGACTGAGCCTGCATGTTTTTACATATTATTTGCTGATGTTATCATCCCTTAAGATACATTATCTGAATGTCACAGATAGCAGTAACACTCCTTAAACCCTCAGTAGGTGCATTTTCTTGGTATTCTGACATTATCTTTGTAAATTGATGATCCATTACACTACAAGTATAGTTTCAGAGGTTATTTTTAAAGTTATTTTGAGGTTTTTGGATTTTCTGTCTCTTTAAGCCAAAGGCTGTTTGGCGTTCATCCAGAATGATATGTACTCATACCATCAGATTCCTAGTGCCTGAGAGAGACCAGAGAAATCCGTTTCCCAAAGCAGTCCTTGTTTTCCCTTTCCATTGCTTTCACCTAGTGATTGACTCCTCTTTAATGTCCTGTTGTAGCCATACTTCCCCCTCCATTACACGTGGCCAACATAAATCAGTAAATTAGGACCAAGAAAACCTTTCTGTATACAGAAGAAATCAAATTGGTCCGAACAAAGAAAGTGAGCGGTGGCCGCAGTTGTTCCCCTTGACAACAAACTACCCCACAGCACAAACACCTGCAGGGCCGGGCAGCAGCGGGGAGCTGCAGGGACCAGAACGATCCGGGAGCAGCCCGTGAAAGAACAGAGCGACTCCTTCACGCGATTTAAACCCACGAGCGCAGAGCCGCTCCGGGCGGAGCGGGGGCGGGACGCCCTCACGGCCCGGCCGCTCCCCGGGGGAGCTGCGCACGCGCGGTGCCCCGCCCCGGCCGCGGCTCCGCCCCGCCCCGGGGCCGCGCGCACGCGCAGTGGCGGGCCCGGGCCGGTCGGGGGAATTTGACCGTAAACATCCTGCGGTTTGAACGGCGCGTTCGCGCGCAGGAAGGGCCGTGGCCGCCATCTTGTTCGCTCCAGCCAGCGGCTCGGCTCCACTCGGCTCCGCTCGGCCCAGCCCGGCTTCGGCTCAGCTTCGGTTCGGTTCGGCGCCGCTCGGCTGCGCTCGGGCTCGGCTCGGCCCGGCCCGGCCCGGCTCGGCTCGGCTCGGCGGGAGCAGCGAGCGGTCCCCGGGCCCGGAGCAGGGTAAGGAGTGGCCCCGGCCGCCGCGGTCGCTGCCGGCGCCTGGAGGGGCCCGGCGGGGCCCAGCCGCAGCCCCGCTCCCGCGGTGCTGCCGTCCTGCTCGGAGCCGGCTTTCGCCGAGCCCTCCCGCCCTGGAGGGCCCGCCTGGTGCGCCGCGACCCTGGGACTCCCCGGGAAGGCAGGGCCGCCCCGGGAACCCTGCGCGGGCCGGGTGTCTGGGGCCATCTGAGGCGAGGCCGGGCGCAGCGGGGCCCGGAGCGCGATCTGGCACGGGCACGAGCCGTGGGGAGCGGGCTCCGGGCCCCTGGAGCGGCCGCCCGCGGGTCCGCAGGGACCTGCTCCGGGAGCCGGGTCACCGGGGAGCCGCGGGGAGGCCGGGGCCGCCGCCGTGTAACACATCCCTGGCTGCGCGCTCGCCAAAGGGACGGCGAGGCGGCTGCGGTCTGGGGAGAGGACGGGAGCAAAGTTCCATTTGCCAGTCTTCAGTTTTAAGTGCAGTTTTCCTTCTGCCATGCATGGGGTAGGGTACCGAGTGTTCTCACAGCCTCTCTAGTGGCAAAGAACTGCCGTCTGGGCACTGTGGCTGTTGAGCTGCAAATAAAAGGGCCCTTTAAAAATACCAGCCTTTTGAAGAACCAGGATTTTGATCTTAGGGACACTGTTAAGAATCTTGGTATTGTTTTTAAGATTTTTCTGATCCTGATTAGAAACGTTTCTGTTAAATATAAAACAGGGCGTTGTTTTTATCAATAACAAAGGAAACTTGGGGTCACAGTGACTTACTGGCATCTTTCATTGATAATGGCTTTTCTTTAAATTCAGACACATAAAGAAACTACTGTAAATTTGGAGAAGTTACCATTTAGGCCTACATTGTGCAAATGTGGGCGATAAGCATGCTTTCCTAATATCTTAGTAAAACTCATTATCAAAACCAGGGGACATCAAGGCATTATTAGGGTCGAGCTTCTGCTTTATCTTATGAAGGTTCATTTGTAAATATTAGACATTTTACAAAATTTGGGAAGGCAAAGCCAACTCATCTAGAGTTTTAACTAGAGAGGAAGTAGGTGTTATAGGGGTAATAAAAGGAGGAGCAAAAAGTTAGTGAGACCTACAGTGAACTTAAATGACCACACAAATTAATCATATCTTGTTTGTACCATGGGGTTTCCTACAGAAATTGGAGTACTTGCTTTAGTTACCATATCAGTCTAACTTCTTAAAGGTAAAATTGTTTAAAAGCTTTTTACATTTTGGGCTCTTCAGATGAACCATGCAGAGAAAAACTGCAAAAGCTGGAAAAATATAAGGAATTCTGTTCAACTTACATTCCTTTAAAAGTGTGTGTTAGCACATGGTTTCTGCAAGTTTATTAGCTTGACTTGGATCTGGACTTGCACAAAATAGATTGGGATAATGGAGACAGGGTCTTCAATTAAAAAGATTTCTACTGGTTGAGCATTCTGAGTGTAGGGGCAGGGGCAGGATACCTGCTGAGGGTTAGGTGTGAATGTGGAATTGAGGGAGGAGGGCCCGGGTGTTCACAGGGTTCAGTAATTTCCAGCTCTGTAGGTACTTGTGAATGATCTGCCTTTTGAATTAGTAACCTTAGTGGGGTGCTGGTTCCATCTGATTATGTAGGTGTGTAGTATATGGTAATTGGAGAGCAGTGAATGCAGTTCCTGTAACGGAGTAGTATGGTTTGAGTAATTAACAGACCTGGTAGTTCAACCTCAGCCACAGAATTTCTAACAAACTGTAGATGCAAGAAACAAGACCTGGAGACAAATGGAAAATGCTGTATGTATTTACCAAAGGTATGTAAAGTTAAACTAGTTCAGTTTTATCTTTTTCAATAATTAATTTTGTAGACATAAGAAATTAAGGTGACTTGACACTGAGCTTTAGTAAAGCTGCAAGTGCCACAAAGAAATATATTAAAATTCAGATAAATGTGGATTAACCAGACAATTATAAAAGTGGTTGAAGGAAGGAGATCAGATAAAATAGTGGTGAAAAGAGTCTTGGAGCTGTAAGGTGATGTTAGTGGAGTTAGTGATGAATTTTTTTTTTTTCAGTGGCAGCAGGTGTTCAGTGTGGTACCAAAACCTGCCAGGGAGGCAGCATTAGTGAGTACCCACACATGGGAAGTTTAGTGAGGTAAGAAGGATTGGAGAGTGAAGGGTTATGACTTAAAGTTTAATTCTTCAAAGAACAGTTGCAGGGTCAGGGTACTTCTTCTGAAGTCTGGTAGGGCCAGTTCAGACTGTTGCAGGTGCACAGGGTGATCCCTGGGCTTAGCAAAGCAGAAACAGTTTAGGAGGAAATTATTCAGGTGGGGGAAACCAACAGAGAAGAGAAATTGAAGGATAGCATAAGGACAAATTAATTAAAATGACTGGCTGATTTCTTAAACTGTAGTGTGGAATTTGTCTACTCATTCATGTGTGACTGTGTTTTTGGACTAGCTTTACAAGGAACAAAAGTAGGTGACAGTAAAAAAGTAGAAGACTGAACTTTAGTAGGGGACCGGTGTGTGTATCTGTGTGTACATAACCTAATCTAGGGAGAGCAGCTGATGAGTAGGTTTAATGAGCTAGAGTGAGCCACAGTCAAATAAAAATATGTTGAATGTTCTGCCTGTTGTCAGCTTGTAGTTCATTAAGCACTAACTATGCTGGTGTGCTCTTCAGAGGTTAGACAGCTGTTCTAATCAGAAGAAGGATTTTAAGATGAAATATATGTGAGTTGAGAGTTAAGATGAAGTTCATAGTTATGCCATCTAACAAATTTTCTTATTTTGAAAGGAGCAATTACCAGAGTCTCAGATGAGAGGATGAAACAGGCACATTCTGGATCAGACCCTGCATATGACCAGTATTATGTCAGTTCTGCTTTGCATTTCACTTACCTTGTGTGTAGAAGTACAGCAAAGAGAAGAGTGCGGAGTAGAGAAAATTTTTTACACTTCTATAGGAAGAACAGTATTTTTTAAATTGTGCAGTTGTTGACCAAGTTAGACAGAGAAAACCTGAGGATAATTGTGGCACATTGAAGCAAATGCAAAGGTAATGGCAGTAAAGGTTCAGGTATTTTAAAAGGTTGATTTGATCCTACCTGGCTTTGTGTGAGCACATACTCTTTTTGCCTTGGAGGAATGCAAGCAAGACAGAAAAATGCCAAAATTCTTAAAACAAGTTTTATGGTCGTGCTTCATATCCAGTTAATTTCAAAAATTGACAGTTGTGTTTTACCTTACAAGCTTTTTAAAAGCCATCAGCTACTCTTTTTCTTTTATGGATTCTGAGGAACTGCTTTTTCAGCCAGTGTTAAATTCTATGTCTGTTTATATGTCTGCCTGAGCACTCTGCCACTTGTAGAAACTCTTTGATTCCTTTAACTTTCATCCTAGTCTCAAATTATGCCAGAAAATCTATTTCTTTCTTTATGCCACTGCCTCAACATACTGTGCTATGAATTAAAGATCAGACAAAAAGCCTGAAATGCAGAAGAGGGAGTATCTGAAAAGAAAGAGAAAATCTGGAGAGAGCAGGAGCAGCCTTTGGGGCTTGCATTGAAGAGCTGAGGTGCTAAACAGCTGAACTGTAAAGGTGGGCTTTGTGCAGTTGCTCTGACCCAGTTATTGCCATGCAGAGCATCTGCTGGAATTTGGAAGTGGCAGGGACTCATGTGAGAAGAAATTATTGCTTTAGGTGACAGAATCCTTGTTTGTTAATAACAGTTCAGATTGAAAAACACTTTAAAACTATCTGTAGTCTGATTGTCAGTCACTGTTTCCCTTTGTGTATTTCAGTATGGCAAGGCTTCAGTGATGGATGAAGAGAAACAGATTTAAAGTGATAAATAAATTTATTTTGTCCAAGTTGTCCAAATAGTGAGTTTCACGTTTAACAGGAAACATAAGTATGTTTTCAGTTAACTGTATGTTTGAAGTTTTGTGAAACCCATATTATCTGTTTTAATAATTGTGCCAAACTCCACTAATCAAAATACACTCTTTTGCAACTGTTGTTGAATGCTTTTAATGGATTAATACAAGTGGTTTTGTCTACTCTGTGTTTGTGTTTTCCCTTGTTCCTCATGGTATGGGGTAATTACAGGCTTACTGTTGCATGGTTCCGGTAGCAACTCAAGATACCAAAATGCTGTACTGCAAACTTATGTCTCTGCATATACAAAAATACTGAGGCATTCAAAAATATGCAAGGATTGAATTGTCTCCTGTACTTAAGACAAAGTGATTTCTTTAAAAAAATAATGGGGAGAAAAAAGTAGAATACCTTCCTTTAGATAATGTTTATCCAAAGTTTATTTCATTGTGCTTCCTGGAAAAACTTGCTTGTGCCCATCTTTGTGCAGTGCTGTTCTTAGCCCTCGCACAATCCCAACAGATAAAAATGGCATTTTAACTTTTTGGCAATTTGAAGCTTTATTATGACTAAAAGCTATTAACTTCACTCCTAAGAGTAGTTTTAATTCTGTAAACTGAGTTAATTTGAGTTTAAGCTACATGTGGCCTTTATTTCCTTAAAATCCTCTCCACTGTTTTGGTCATGAATGAAATTGGTGGCCAATCTGTCATTAAGAGAGTAGCTTTGATAATCAGTTCTGTTATGCAGCTCTCAAAATGAAAAAAAATAAAAGTTCTTGGACTTGACTTTGAGATATACTTCTTATTTTTTCATTTATTATCCAGATGTCTAGAAGTTGGCTTTATTTCCACTGAATCAGTAATGTCAAAGCTTCTCTTGCCCCTGTGCTTAAATTCCTAGCAGGAGCAATTGTGACTTGCTGTGCTTCCTCTGGCACTTTTTCTCTAGGTGTAGAGGAGGTAAAAACTAAAATGTACTAGTTGTGCTTTTCTGATCTTCTCTTTTGATGTATTTTCCTGGGTTATAGAAACTACTGGAAAAACTCTTTGTGGAGATTCTTCTACTTTTTTAATGCAAACTTTTTTTTTCCTCTACTTGTAGTTAAGTGAATCATGTTTACGTCATGCATGGAAGTGGCATGTTTAGATCATAAGGCATCATGCTGTTCTGATTCCCCATGATTTGATGCGTTGGCATCTTATCAGTCGTAAAAAAGTAATTACTAGATAAATAGATAAGAGTGTCTTATTTTTTCTGTTGAAGGAGAAAAGATGGAAACTTAAGGAAGTTTGGAATAATGCAGTCAGTTTTCTCACCACTTTCATCAACACTCGATTAAAAAAAATATGAAATTGAAAATGTTCAGAAATGGGAGACATGATTGTGCTTCCTGTTCAGGAAATTATAGTGAAGTGCAAAAAGATTTAGGGCTGTATATTTTGTAAAGGTGAATCTTTTGCTGGAACAATGTACAATATATACTGGTAGAGTAGAGTAGTAGCTGCTGAACTGAAAGTAGAAAGAAGTGGTAGTCATAGAAAACTACTATGGAGTGAAAACTGAGATGTGCTTCTTTGCATTAGGAGAGTTTGGTATCATTACGCTAAAGGTAAAAAG